TTAAAATTTTTATAATTTACGAAATTTAAGTATCCTTAATAAAAATCGAAAGATATTCTAAAACAACGGACAAAGGATATCGAGTTAAAACGTTTTTGTGTTAAACTATTAGATAATTTTGGATCGTTTAAGTACACGAGAGATGTGTTTGCAGAACTAGATAAGAAGCTGAGGATCGAAATTGAAAATTTAGGAGGTAACCCGCTCTTAGTGAAGTTTCTAGACAAATTTAAAAATAAAATGCCAAAAACGCATGTCGAGCTGCTTGACTGAAACTAGAAATTAAGATTATTTGTTGTAAAACATCGAGTGTAGCATTTTTCGTGATTTTTCCATAGTATTGTGTTCTATATGATAGACCTTACTAATAGTATAATTGGCAACAAAAAGATGAGAGGAGAAAATGATACATAGGAAAACATATTAAAAATATAAAATAAAATTTATTCATGAAACTTTTATTGGAAACATTTGTAGAATTTTACTGAGTGCCCACTAAAAATAAAAATATATCTCCACAAAAAGATTTAAAGAATAAATATTTGTAATATACGTTAATATATGTTCATGGCAATCTTTAATTGCGCAGTTTCGTAATATCTATCAAAACCGTGCTTAAAATTTTTTCTAGTTTTAATGAAGAAAACATTTTTATTCACACGCGTATATAAATTTTCATACGTACGTATAAATAAAAATGCTGTTTATTTAATCATGCATTAAGTAAATATTTTTTTAATTCTGGTTTATTTCATTCTGTGTTGCAGATAATTCTTTTTTTCATGTGTCTTTGTTATTTGCATTTTAAGGACAAATTATAATTTAATATTAATTAAACTACTACTGTGCTACTGTAGAGCTAACAAGTAAAAGTATTCTTGATAGTAATAGGTATTTCAAATTTCAGATTGTTATGTAAATCTTGTTATTTTGTTTGCTATATAAAATAATTGTTATAATATATTTTTTTCATATTATTTTGAGTCTTTAGCTATATTATCAAAGTAAGCTTGGAAAATTGATTGAAAATTGACCGGATACTCGTATTTCGTTTTACACTGTTTTAAAATGTATTATAACAAACTAAGTTTTTGCGTAACATTCATATTTCATTAAAATTTAATTTTGTATATTTTTAGATTGTCTATTAATTTTTTTGTTACAATTTAATTATATTTAATTATATTTAAGTAACATCCATATAGAACATCCAAGTAAACTATGTTAATTGAGCATATTTTACTTGTTTTTCTTGTAAATTCTTTTTTTTCAACACATTTATTTCTTTACTGCAGTTTTTTTATACGTATATAATATAAAAATGAAAATTTCTTGTTTAATATATTTTTGCAATAATTTATTTCTTTTAAATATAAAAAACCAGAGCTACTTTTATCGTGTAATTTTTAATGTAAAATAAATTTTGAGCAGGATGCCTTTAGAAAATATTTATTAGCAATTTTATATATTCGATAAGCTATTGACAATTCAATATAGCTTATCGAGTGATCGCTTTATAATCAAAACTTTATGGCTGTTCTTTGAACGTTATGCAATTATATATTATACATTTATAGCTATGATTTCCTAAAAGACGTATAGAAAATTATATGTAACTAACAAGTGTCTGTCTAAGAAAAATATTCGCGTACATTCATTCCTTCACGCGCACGCACAACGATGCGATTATTTCGCGTCGTTTTTCTCCTTTTGCAGATTTGTAAATCAATAAATCAAAACTTTCTCGTTTTGTCTTTATTCTTAGATTTACCAAATATGCCACGGATGATTTCTCCGACATTTTCTCAATTTACACAATTCTCGCCGTAAGCAAAATCCGAGTGGTCAATTGACTCTCTTTGACACGTGACTAGATCGAGTTGAGGTCCAGTCGCAAAGGACTAAGACAGCGTGGCAATTTGACACGTCCTCTGTTCAGGCTCGCTATCCTCGTCGGCTCGCTGGCCCAGGAGGACCGTCGCTCGTGTCATATCTCGCTGTCCCCGGGATACACATTTTCTCTGTAGTATTTAAAAATATTTATTTAGTATAGATACCCACATCCAAAATCTGCAATTATTGGAGGATCTGGATCCCACGGGATGTATAATAACTCGTTCAACCATCATGAAGAAGAATCCATTCCATAACATTACCTTACATTTCTCAAATCGAAAAGAAAATTTGTAGTATATACTTTATTTAGATAGCAGAGTGAAAGATATCATCTTCTTACAACTACAAACATTATAAATGTAATAAAATAATATTTTTACTGTATTGACTAATTATTTTAAAAAGATTATAATTTTATCATATAATTATACTTTTTACAAAGTGGTCCAATTCTTGTGAATGTAATACAGGCTATTATCTTCAACGCTCATTAGTATGCCCATATAATATAGTTTTCTTTAGTATTCCATATAATATAGTTTTCTATTTCCAAGCAAATTTATCCACGGTAAGAGAAGACTACACAAAAAAATTTGTTATTTTTTTTTTAAATTTTTTATTACTTATTTAATTATCTTCTGTATAAAAGTATATAAGCTTTTAACAAGTCTTAACAAAGATAATAATTCATAACAATAAATATTAATAATATTATGATTATTAATATAAATATTAATATAATATAAAAATTTTAAAAAATTACCAAAACTAATACCAACCAAGAATTTCACATTATATGATATATAATTTTATTATATTTTATTAGTGTTATTACATGATGTTAACTTTTAATATTAAACGCATGTTGAAAACGAAAATAAATTTATAATACAAATTTTTTTATTTAATTTATTCTGTTATACTTACTCTAATTTTATAGTATTATTCACCGGTATCTTAAGATTTTCGCGATAAACCGGATTTCTTAATTTCACATTTTGTATGTTTGAATTCTGTATCACTTTTGACAGCTATCCTAACCGCTCTCGAGACAGTGATTCGCATTTTGAAAAATTTTGCGCGTTTCAAAACCCATAAAAAAAAGTGTTGCAACTTTTTAGCTGCTGACTATACGTGTAAGAAGACTGTCATTAATTTTGCTGCGGAACAGGCGGTGCACGATCAATGTCCTATTATATATAATATTGTGTTATTAGAATAGGACATTATGTAATATTATTTCAATCCAGTTCATTTACCACGATGAAAGAGGATATTAGTATAGATGAAATATTTAATACAGTTTCTGAAATTATTGTGAAATCCTCTAGAATAGGTTTTTCTTCAATATATATCAGTTATTGCGATAAATATTATCACATGCCTCAGTGGTCGAATTGGTAAAGACGCCAGTTCCGGAAAGTCAAAAGGTCTCAGGTTTAAACCCTGACTGACAATGAGATAATATTTGCCATAATAATTTCTTCCCAGTGTTTTGAGATGCTTATTTGCATCGGATTATTAAGGTAGTACACTCGCGACAATACCATCCAAAAGTTAGGTCTCATCACGCGCTCGGCGATATTCCCATTGCCGCCAGTGAGAAAAAACATTTGGTTGTGCCTATCTATTGACCGCACGCACACGCAGATAAAATTAATTCAGACAGACGCAGACTAACGCAGCTCGACTGGCCGCCTCCTTCATTTGCCTCCATATGTCAATAAAAATCGAAAATTATATTTTTTAAAAGACTCTATTTTTCAAACTAAATGGTAAAAAATTATGAATTTTTTTCATAATATTCATTTCATATCCCTTCATCACATACTCGTTTTTTATTAAAATCTCAATACTAGTTTAGGCCCTACAAAAATAAACGCGACAGTTTTATCAACTTTGTATAGGCGACACGTATAAAAAATGCAATTTTTAATTGCTTATATCTCAATATTGAGATGGTCAATCTCATTCTAATTGCACAAGCGTGTCAACGACTTCTAGTACAACATATATAGTTTCAATTTCAAGAAATTTTCAATATTTTGAATTTGCGAGTGTACTACCTTAAAACTGAAGATCAAATTGTAATTTTACTATTCCCTCTTTAGCGAATAATTGCGTTGCAAGTCTGACATTAATTCGGGGCGCAGCTTAAATAACTAAACAATGTTAAAAAATTCATAAAATTAGATATTAGGCACCAAGATCCAGCTGTGGCCGTATTAGACGCTCTTAAATTCATTTTTATTTCTATAAATATTTATTAATTTTTAATAAATTTAAAAAAATCTTTTTTAATCTTACTTTATATACAAATGTGTGATAAAAAATCTTAATTTCTAATAAAAATTTAAATTTACGCAATTATAAATCAGAACTGACTAGATATAATTAATATATAGGTATTATATACATATATTACATTAGTCAAATGTTTTTTTATTTAAGATAACAATATGAGAACATAAAACAATAAAAGATAACTTCACTTTTAGCTGATCGATTATTATTAATTGGGATGTATTTTGCAACGTGGCAAAACACTCATAATACCGTAGGGCTTTTTATTCTTCTGTAATATTTTTCCGGTTTATAATTCGAACAGATATATACCGTGAGATACTTTGCCGTCAGCAAATCTAATTCAGTTTTGCAATTCAAGTTTGCAAAATTGTTACACGCGCATCTCTCGCTCGCGCTGTGCTCGTCTTTTTAATTGATAATGCTAGTTTCTTTCACGCAGTTGAGTCTCGTTTCATGTTGTGCAATTTGTTTGCGTGAAAAACAAGAAAAACACACGGAGAGAGGGACGACGTGCGACCGGCCAAAGAATTTTTGCCAAGCTTCTTTTGCTGACAAGGGAACACACGGAAGTGTCCGCCTTCGATTTTAATAAACTTTGGATATGTTAAACTACAGACAAAAATAAGATACTACAATTTTTGCAATTCGTGCTGAGTCGCACGTTAAGGGGGTGAAACACCCCTTAGAAAAAAATCG